AGCTTGCGAGCTAAATATATAATAATACTAGTCATGGAGTTATATAATACCGCCCGACATCACGCTTGAAATCATCTGATTAAAATAAGATCCTAGTTTGGGCTTTTTTTTTTTTTTTTGTTAAAATAATATCATTCATATTTTTTTCATATATTCTATTTTTTTTTTTTTAAATTTATTTGCTGGTAATTTTTTAAGTTTTGGTAATCGCGAAAGCCCACAAGGATCTGACCAACTACCTATACAAATCGCGTTCAAGTACCTCTCCGCTGACGGGATTAGTCAACCAATCACAGAGCGCCTTACGAAAACATGGTGATGCACTTTGCGCGTGCGCATGAAATGATCACAAAAAAATTAAAATGGCGGCGTTTACCGGCCAATCGAGCGAGAAACTCAAACAAATAATTGACCACGAGGTGAGTATTTGTTGAATATGACATGTTTCCTATTATGATTGAACTATGTCGGGTATTGGTGGCCGTTTAGTCAAGTAACAATATTTATATACGCGAAAATGCGTACTCGTGTGGATATAAATGAAAACACCAGTGTTATTCAAAGGCGCTCGGAACGTTTCTTGGACCATGGATGTAATTAAGTACATCCATGCTTGGATAATAAAAAAATGACCTAAAGTAGGATCGGCACAGTTAGTCAGTCGCCTACCACTCATGTTAGTCACATTAACAAGGATACAAGGAGGTTGTGTTTTAATATTGTCGCCTCTTGTCCCATTAATGAAAGACCAAGTCCCTCTATCCTCTATAGAGGGACTGTGACCAAATAAATGTTTTATTTTATAAATGGTAATTTACTTGCACAACAGTACTGTCACTGGAAATTGTTTAATTTGACTGGTTCATCTCATTTCGAAATCTATATTTCCTGTTATTATTTCAATATCTTGGTGATTGATTAATTGGTAATTCTTCCAGATAGACAGTTTGACTTTGTTGGGATTTAGTGCAAAAATGGCCAGAGATATCCAGATTGATAGAAAGTCGCCAACCTATATATATGGTACCCCAGGGGAACAAAGCACACCTTCATAGACATGCTACATCAACATCATAGTGATAAGATTGTATTATTGGTAGTTGATGAAGTTCATACTATTCCGAAGTGGTAAGTATATTGCTTGTATGCTTGCTTGTAAAATTGGTATGCATGTTATTTCCATAATTGACACTAGAGGCATTTTGAGTCGATCTGTAATTCTAAACCACCCACTGCATTATGGGAAAGAACTGCCATTGTATATATAATCTGGAAACTGACTATATTCTTGTGTAAATTTTATGAAATTTTTCAACAATATTAGGATTTGTATCACTATATTAATATACAATTTTTTCATCCTATGTCAGATTTTTTGAGAAACAAGTGGAAAAAAAAACATTATTACCATATACATGTACCACATTTTGGACTCTTGTAATCTCGATTTTTATTTTATTTTGAGTATCCTGATGATGGCCCAGTACCGATAATGATAAAACTATGACAAACATGACATAATCTTGAATTCAACATGAATCTCTTTAACATCTAAATTTATCATAATTTTTTTGATCAATTTAACAGGGGTGAAAAATCTGATGCAAGTAACAAAAGCAGGCGAAAGGCACAAGAAGGGGCATTCCGAACTGGGGAACTGAGATCGTTTTTTTTCCTGGTGTCGGAGTTTTGGCATTAACAGCAACAACATCAAAATGTCTGCAAAATCAGATTAAGGAAAGTTTAATTATGCAGACTGCAAAGTTGTAAATGTTTGCCCAAACAGAGATAACATCAGACTATCATCATTTTATTGAATGGTCGACAAGCTATGAGAAGATCTACATGAATCCCTTAGGACAATAGTATACTGTTCATCTACTGATGCAACAGGAACACTTTATCATTTTTTTAAGGACGAATACCCTCAATCACAGCGAGACGGATAATACAGTCCAGGAATCGCAGTTAAAAGAGTTTACTGAATTATCTACTTTTAATTTTGAGATTATTTTTATGTACAACAGCTCTTGGTATGGGCATTGACATGAAATCAACATACCATGTACTTCACTATGGGCCATCATTTGATCTCGAGAGCTATATACAAGAATCTGGCAGAGTTGGAAGAGATGGTAAATCATCTCATGCCGTGTTATTTTATCACGGTGGAATGTTACGCGACATTTGTCCAAAACTAAAAAGTTATGTCAAGAATGATACTCTCTGTAGGAGAGTTAAATTATTTGAAGATTTTACATCCAGTAAAGACTTAAGTGTTTTAAAAAACAAGGAATCGCATCACAACTGCTGTGATATATGTGAACGGAACTGTTCTTGTAGTAATTGCGACTCTCATGCTAACTGTGTAGAAAAATATATGGTCCATTACTGTGCCAATACAGAGAGTGATAAGTCATCAGATGACACGTGCAGTTTAGAATCGGATGCTGCATTGGCAGATTCATCAGTCTTCATATTCTAATGAAAGTTTGGAAGCAGACCAAACTGAATAAATCAATGTACATGTACATATCACTTTGTTGATCATGTATGCATTTAAGTGAAAAAAAAAACATCATTAATGTAAATAAATATTTTTTTATTACAAATTATACGATTCATTTTTAGCTCAAATGTGAGTTTAAGGTGTGTTCCAGAAAATTATCTTGTGAACAAATCAAAGGATTTGCACCAAATTTGATAGGGATGTATCTACATGGCATTACTGTTGGGGATAATTTACTAGTGTAAATTAGCTAGTTTGCAAATTATTTTTACATCATGAACACCTCCAATTTGTATTCTGAGCTTTTACAAGCTTGTCATTAAAACCCATACAAATCACACATATGGATGATAACAAAAATAACAAAGCTTTTTATTTCTATAGCGCTAAATGTGACATACAAAAAAGAATTACAATTACAAGCAGATATAACGGCTATAGAAAAGGGGCAACAAGAAGCATTGCCACCTGTATACATTGTGACTATAGGGGATGTGATGATTTTGGCATGGCAAGGTCCTGGTTTATTTAACAAACTCTTTACATAGAGGTGTTTAAATTTTGTTTGACTATTGCAATATTTAATATAATTTTTGATATTACTAGTATTCCAAAGTTTGACTCCATAACATGACATACACATTGACTTGAGAGTAGTTCTATATTTTATACAGAAATCTAAATGTTGTCTTGTACTATGGCTGTGTACTTTATGGGTATTTGTAAAGTACTTCAAGATGTTTTCTGGGATTTTTTTATGATAAACATTATACATTACAAGCATGGTTCTTAAGGCCAGACTTTTTTTATTCCTTGTTTCTCAAGTTTTTATAAGGCAATTTGAGGAGGGCGGAAAAGAAATAAAATTAATTCTTTTTTCCCATTAGATTTGTGTGATTCTCAAAGAATTGTAAGTGAGATCATTGATCGGAGCAAAGAAATGGAATAAAATTTTATTCCATGTATAACCTTGTTGCTCATTTACTCCCACGGAAATGCAGCTTGGATTTGTTATGCGGCGGGCGGCATAAAAATGAAGATAAAAATAATATATTTTTTAGCATTTTTTTGCGCTTACAAATCGGCGGGCGCGAGAAATTATGCTGAAATAAAATTTTATTTTTATTTCATTTTCGGCTCCTGTTCATTCGGCGGGTTCGCGAAACAAGGAATAATAAAAGTCTGGCCTAATTCAATTAGATCATATACATTTAATACATTTAGTTTATAAAATAATGGTTTTGTATGGCTAAAGTATACCTCTTTTGTAACAATTCTTATAGCATTTTTTGGAGTAAAAATAAACAATTTAAAGTAGTTTTATATGTATTTCCTCAACAATACACAAGATATGGCAATATAAGGGTTAAATACAGATTTTTAAGTACAGATGAATCTAACAGGTATTTTAATTTGTAAAGAATACCTAAGTTTTTAGCAACTTTAATCTGAATATTTTTCACATTTTCTTTCCACTGGAATTTACAGTCCAGTTCTACACATAAGAATTTAGTATGATACACTCTTTCAATATAAACATCATTGATTGGATGGACACTGTTTACATTTTTACAATAGAAAATCATGTAGTTAGTTTTAGAAATATTTAAAGATAATTTGTTAGCCATAAACCATAAGTGTAACTTCTTCATATTCTCTAGATAAAAATATGTTAGTATCATCTGCATATAGAATAACCTTTAACAATTATGATACATTACAGATATCATTTACATATAGTATAAATAAAGTTGGTCCAAGAATTGAACCTTGCGGAACACCATGAATTATACTCATTAGATCTGAGTTAATACCATCAATACAGATCTGCTGTAACCTGTTACTAAGATAGCTACTCATCCAACACCTCGAATGCCATATTTACATAATTTTTGGACTAGGATTTTGTGATCTATAGTGTCGAACGCCTTTTTTAGGTCGATGAAAATACCAACTGTATACATAGTAGAGTCCATGATGGTAATTGTATATCTTGTAACACATCACATAAGATATCTGGATTATCATGGAACTTTAAATCACAAACTGCACACAGGTTTGTTTGGGTTGCCATGATTAATCTGTGTGGACAAAATACAAAACCAATTATTTCCACAATTACTAGTAGTATAACGTGTTACTGGGACGTGAAGTTGACGATCTAACGTATGCGGTTGGTTGCCGAAGTCTAGTAGAAAATATTGTTTATAAATGATAAAAGACGCCCAAAATTGCCGCTACTACGATGTAAGCCAACCCTGTATAACTAGTGTCATTTATAAGCATTATTTCCTGCTAGATTTCGGCAGAGACCTTTTATTTTTTAAGTTCTAATGATTTCGGCAACCAACCACATACTAAAATCGCCTATGATTGTTTCGTTACGGCACGGAAATATTACAATCAAATCAATAATTCATTTTCTAAGCTAAACTAACTGGTGAATGGCAGCTCAAAAAACAAGGCACGTGAATAGTTACTGAAATCGATAGCGATAACTTACGTATTTGCACTGTTCAATGTAACTTAGCATACGTCTTCCGAAAAAATACAGCAGAAAAACAAGTCCACCATTGTTCATGTGTTTGTTTGTTGTGTCGCTTCTCCTGCTCTAGAAAGTGATTTGTAACACGAGTTCTGATTGGTTGCAGATTCTACGAGACTTGAACGCGATTTGTATAGGTAGTTGGTCAGATCCTTGTGGGCTTTCGCGATTACCAAAACTTAACAAAAATACCAGCAAATACATTTTTAAACAAATAATAGAATATATGAAAAAAATATGAATGATATTATTTTAACAAAAAAAAAGCCCAAACTAGGATCTTATTTTAATCAGATTGGATGCACAGGTACTAGCGCCTAGTATTGGTTTTTGTTAGATCGAGAATAAACTAATAAAATGACTTACATCACTGCTTCACGCTGAAGAGAATCATTTTAGTTTGAAATCCCCTGAGCCACGTCACTGCAATTGCTGTTTGTCTAATTCTAAATGCATTCTGAATTACTTACTTCGTGATTTGAAAGGTGCTGACGAATTGATAAGAGTGGCAACGATTTGATAATAGGAATGTCGTTGTCAATATTCATCAATTGCTCAATCGACTAGAACACTATGCAATGGGACATGTGACGTTGGATATTTGATTGGTTTCACATATACATATCGATATGATACATTAATCATATTGAAAAGATAATTTTTATGAAATTGTCATATATTGTTGGTTCCTAGAGCAACATATGATGGGTGCGTTCAACGAATTGAACACATGGTGGGTATTTTTCTTATGTTACGCAATCGTATGCATTATTGCCATAAACTACGACACCCGTTCAC